CATTAAGCTAGCTTAGTTTATTTCTATGTTTGTTTTCTTTTTTAATTTGAGAAGTGAGATCCTCAGTTTCTCAACAGACGTTTCCTCAACTAAGTGATATCAAGCTATTAAAAAAACTAGAAACAAATGTGGGGATAATTTCTTTCGGGAAAATATATAAATCAATCCAGACTTTAAAGTAATGATCCAAATTGCTAGTAATCAAAAACTACATAGAAGACAAAATTCACGACAAAGCTAATTATGAAAGGTTGAGGAATCAGTGTGTTGTAGGTTCAGTTACACAGCAGCTTTATGAATGGACCAACAATTACTTTACCAAGAGTTCAGACTGAACTACTTCAGACTTTTTTCCCCTTTTCACATCCCATAAAGGTTTTCTTTAGATGAAAGTCAGCAAACTAGCTACATGGCTCTCAGTTCATTATTAACTACCTACTCAGCAATTTCTAGAAGGCATGCACGAGTTAATAAAAATTCTACAGGAATCTGCTATTTCAGAGCTCGGTTCTCTCCTCACTGATTTTATTAAATGAAGTGCACTTCCATTTTTCTTATGCTCACAACACTTCTGTCCATTAATCCATTTAGAACTGCTTCTAAACTCTTTGATTAATGATTTAAAACATTACTTTGTGAAAACAGAAATAGATACTAAGATTACTATCAGGTTTTTAACTTCATGTTCTTTACCTAATTCTCACTGCAGGCATAATTTATCAGACTGTAAAAATTAAAAAATCCAAAGTGTACATTGTCCCACATTGCCAAAGCTGTAGTATTTTAACAGATTAATGTTTTTTGTTTTTTTTTCCTATTAGTGGCTGAAAAAAAAAAATCTTTTGAGGAGTGTATGGGGTAAGTCACTGTACTGTCAACGCCAGCTTAATGAGATGATCCATTTAAGTTACTATTGTGATTTTCCAAGTTAACTGCAAAAGGAGCAAGGGCATCTTCACATTCTGTTCCTCAGAAGCAAAAAAAGACAATGAATGTATTGTACCTGATGCTTTCTTCCCTCCCTTATTTCTGATTCACAGCTTCACTGATCTATAATAAAAGGGGAAAAAAAAAAAAAAAAAAGATGCCTTAAGTTGCCTACATTCACTGACTATCCAACTTAAAGAATAAAGTTGCAAACTGTGCAGCCCTATCCCTTCTACTTCATCTTACTCAGAAGAGACATTGGAAAGACATGACTAATTGACATCTGTGGACTTTCAGAGAACAGAAAACAAACTGCCAAAGAGAAGTTAAGTGTGTGACTAGAAAAAGGAAAAAACCAACAGCAACAGGACTTAGCTTCTCTTTTTCATATTTCAGTATCTTCACTACATATTCACGGCAAAGTTTAACAAAACCAGTGCCAGTTTAATAACCCATAACTTCTCATATGTTTCAAATTAAAAGACATAGTTGAAAGTAGCAGCTTTTACAGGCAGCCTCCATAAACTCATATAATTGCTATTGAACTGTCTTCCTAGTGATCACCAGATCAAAAATAGTAACTAGATCTTTATTTCCTTCCTTAAAACATTCCTCCCGTCCATTCTCCACACTTCTCTCAGTAAAAAGATGATGGGTCAGTTGTTACAGTGCTACTCTGTAAATGAAAGCAAAGGTCCAATTCCATCCTCTGCCTGTATGACCTTGAGCCACCCAGTGTCATCACTGCTGTACCACTGTTTTACAGCCTTAATTTCAGAGGTCTGACAGCACAGAAATGCAGGCTCAGGAAGCAGCTAAGACACTGGACTGCACAGGGTTCTCATGACTACTACCCTGGGCTGCAACTTCACAGGAATCAGCAAAGGACAGCACGAGGGAACACCTAATTTTAACTTCTTCCTTTTAGAACTGTTACATCAAGAATTAACTTCTGGTAGAAAAAAAGGTCACTTGCATGAGAGTCAGTGAGAAGCTGGACTTAGTCATAACTCTTCTCTATCTCCAAATCAAATGAAGCTATGGAGGTGAAATGCTGGGGTTTCAACTCCAAGCCCCAAATTAAGGTTGACATCTGGGTGATTCCCACAGCCCTTCACAAAGGGGGGGTGAGCTTGCCTTTAGGCTTCCCTCCAGGGTGGGCCGGCCTTGCAGGGAGAGCCATTGGGTAAATGACCCCAGGTGTCTGCAGTAAGTAAGCAAAGGTCAGGTGTCCCACTTGGGGATAAAAGCTGGGACCACTTGCAGGCAGGGGCAGTGTCTGTCTGTGAGGTGGGTGCCCTGTGCAGAGTTCCCTGTTGGGGAAGGACCTCCTGCCTCCCTGGGACTGGGCTCCAGTCAGGTCTGGCTTTTGTAAATGTGGGCTGTGTAGAGATTCAGTGTGTGGCTTCCTTGGTCTTATGTGTTTGGTTTGTTGACTCAGTTGTCTCCTGTCCCTTCTATGGGAGACTGCATGTCACCATTTATTCCACCCATTGTTGGTTGTGTGGTGTTGTTGTTGGGGTCAGTGGGATTGATGTTGATTATGTATAATCTGACTTGTTTGTTACCCCCAGTGCTCACCCATGTACTGACTCTTTTGTATCAAATACAATTTGGTTATTGGTTCATCTTTATGCTGGCTGTGTCCTTCATGCTAGGCCTAATAATTGGCAAAACAGGAGGACAGAATTTGATGGTGAGAAGTGACAAAAAGGACAGATACTGCACTGGTTCTGGTTAAGTGCTCTGCCTCATCAAGTGATCTGAAGCACTGGGGAAAGAGGCATTTTCAGGTGCCTGCAGGAAAATCAGATAAATCTGGTCTTTTTCATACTATCACCAAGAACATGGAATAAAAAGATTAAATAGAGGGCAACAATTAAAATTAGAAAGAGGTATGATTAAATTACCAATACTATGCAACAGATATGAATCTTGAATTTCTCTCAAAATTCTAATTCTTAAAACCAGAGAATAATGCCAGGAAAAATGAAGATTTATTTTCAGAGCAGAAATCTGTTCTTTTGCACTGATCAACAACTGAGAGTTGTTGTTGCTAAGGAATAATGGGGGGTGGGGAAAGGTAGTTCAATTACTAGCTCATATTACCTAGCTTAAGCTCCAGGAAGAATCAAGCACATGGAATATTTTAGTAGTAAAGTTTTCACTCAGTTTTACACAAAAGAAGAAAAAACACAGATTTCAAATGCATTATTCAACTTTATCCAAATACTTTATAAATAAACACTGTATCTGTATTGTACTGGTGTAGCGAGATGTGTACTGATACTTAGACTGTATACCAGTATCGACAGCAATACCAGTAAACCAGGATGGCCACTGATCAATAGAATTACTGGTCAAAGACACAGTTTTCTGAAATCTTTCCAGCCAGCTGACATCATGGCAAACATCTGTCCTGTAGGTAAGTGAACTGATTGCAAACCAAGGTCTTAAGATGACAATTCAGAATATTTGTGTTTAACATTTTCTTAGCCAAAGAATGATAAATGTCAGACTGACACACATAAATAAAAACTGAAGAACTTCAACCATTAATTCAGATGGAAGATGTTTTATGTTATTCAGAAGTTACATGAAGCTAATATTTGAAGTCTTTTGCACTACTGATAAAAAAACCCTAGTAACTGAAAATAGAGGTAGTTTGCATTTTTTAAAAATAAAAGCTGACAGCTTAGAATGACAAGAATTGAAATAGACTGTGTATGCTAAAACTTGCCTTTCCTACTTTCTGGGCACTCTGCAGATTTATGATCTATAATGGTTCAGTGCAGAGCCACTCAAAATTTGCAATTACAGCAATTGCCAGAAAAAAACCATAAGGACAAGTGTAAAACAGAATAAAAGATGCCAAATTTACACTCTCTTAGAATGGACACACCCATTTAAAGAAAAGCTCCCACATTTTCTGCTGGTGCACCACCTTATGACTTGTGTTCAGTTTTTCCTAAATGACATCACTGGACAAGGATTCAAAGCCTTGCAAAAACTCTAACAAGATGAGGTGGAAAATGCCTCGTCATACTGTCACAAGAAACTTTTTATCCAACTCAGACTTCTAAACTATTCCTCATTTAACATCACTTGTCATACAAGTCCAAACTATTTTTCACATGTATTTTAAATAAGGAATTTTTTGCAGATGACATCAACCTCTAAATAATACTGTAAATAATTTAACACTGTAATACTGTAAGCATATTGCAAATTGTAGAATGCATGTCCTGAGAAATTTCTTCCAAGATACTTTTTAATGTCCAACTAGTCTTTATTATATGCAGAAAAACCCTATTATGTCTTGACTGCCACAGTAGACTGAGGTAAGTATTATCCTGTATAAACTTAAGGAAAATAGTTAACTTGATTTATTGTAAACTTACTAGTTTTACTAAGAATGGCACAAAAATGATTAGTTGCACCTCCAAATCAAGGTTTAAAAGAATTCTTTTTGTACAGATATTCTGAAGAAAAAAGATTAGAAACTTGATATGCTCAACATACAACCTCAACCCATCTACCTGCTCCTTCACAGCTAGAAAGTCTACTTGTTTATGAACAAAATAAATCACCATAAATCACCAAGCACAAAGTATATGTTAAGTCTAAAAGATCTTTACATTCAAACCATTTTGCTTTATTGTGAAGACTGATAAATAAGTCATCCAAGTACAGTTTGTTTTCATGGACAAAACCCTATCCACCATCACACAAAACACTCCTACCCTTGGCAGTTCTTGAGATATCAATTATATTGCATGAATTATTTTACTCCTCTCAAGTAAGCATAATTTTAGTAGTCACAACTGTAGGAAGTGTTAGAGCTAGAAAACAAATGCTTTAGATTATACAGATTCACATTCAGATGGTACTAGGCTCTAATGATTTGGAATTCAGGATATTACACAGCTAATAGAATTTAAGTTTAGAAATACAGACCATTTGTTCTCAAGCTACCAGATCTCTCTCCTGCTCAGCATAGAGCACATTTTCAGGATAAATATCCTTCACTATTGGACTAATGAAATATATCAAGCCAATAGCAAAAGTCATACAGAAGCAAAAAGACACTATTTATTAAAAGTAATTTAATAAAATGTCACAGGTATCTCAAAACCTGCAATTAACATGTATACAGAGGTTTATGTATTTTGCTGTATTTTCTGAAGAAGAAAATCCATTTGTAAGTTTAGATTTGGCTGTCCTCTTTTTGTCTTCTTACTCAGTATCTTATAAGCTTCCATTTTCTTTTGCTTGTACAACCGTTGAGCTGCTTCTCTTTGTTGTTTTCTTTTCTCTGCTTCCTGAAATAGATAAGATTATGAAATAATTACCTACCTTCTATAACTATGAAACTATCTATAAGCAATAAAATTTCTTTTTGTAAAGATACTGGCAATTAGGTTTTGTACTGACACTAGAAGCACCATTAGACAGGATGCTCTTTCAATGCATACTGCAATCAGAAGATACTATGTTGCCTAAAGCTTCAAGAGCCAAGTTTTCTTTGGTAGAACATCCTACAATAAGGTTTGTGTACTACTTCCTTCCTGTGAAATGAGCTCCCTGACTTTTCTCAAGTGACAAGGTGGCAAAAATTTCCCACTTTCTCCCCTTGAGTGCAAGAAAGAAAGAGTCTGATCCAGCAGTCCCCATGTAAATGTCTAGCCAATCCAGATGTGCTAGGACACTGGACTCATCTGCATGGGACTGGCAGATAGGATATGGGACACATCTGGAGCTGAAAGTTGGGCAGGTTTGTGATACTGGGACAGCACCACAAGCAGTGTTACCTACAGCAACTTAATCAAGACCAAACTATTAGTGATCTGTCCTCTTCAAAGCAACACAGACTGCTGTATTTAAGAGAAAAAAAACCCAACACCCTAACTGAATTTTCAACTGTACAAACTTTGTGTTGAGGGGACAGCACACATACAATGAAAACATTAATGGAGGCACTTAAGACTATATGGATAATCATGATATTATGTTCAGTTTTTACAAAATAGCTTACACCCCCTTCTCTACTGTTGTAATTTGGGTAAACATCCACAACAAGCAACCTAACTAGCTTGGTTCACTTACATCATGTCCTATCAAAATATGCAAGACATCACAAATCAGGCTGAAGGCCTGCTTCAGTTCACTTGGATGATTTCTTCTCATAAAGCTTATTCTTTGAAATACTGTGCCATGCTGCCCACAAAGGAAGATGTTTCTGCAGAATGCTCAAGCAGATGATAATTTATCAATTATGGTTTTGTTTTCCATGGCACAGATTGCTTCTGTGATGTACAAAAATTATTAAGAATGCTCTTTCTAAATAGAAATCTAAGAGGCATGGAGGGGAGGAAACCCCTGCAAAGACAGCATCTCTCCATTCAGAATGCTTCACTTATTTTACTTTACTGTAACAATGATTTTTTTTTTTTTTTTTAACCACAGTAGCATCAACCTGTAATTCACTTCCTACCTAATAATTTTACTGCTGTTCAGCATACTGTTATAAGCAACATCCATTTAAGCTACCAATCAAAGGCTTACTCAAAGCAAGTATGTGAATCTTACTTAGGTGGTTTACTTATGTTTTTATTTTTTCTGATCTCTACTAAATCATAGCTTTTTTTATATAGCATGGAGGCCAAAACTGCCTTTAAGCTTATTTCTTTTTCCAAAATAACTATCAGCAAATCCACAATTTGCTAACATATATACATGACGGTAAAGTATATGATCATTGTATCAGCATTCCACACAAATGATTACTGTTACTGTGGCACTTAGCTGCTGTCCAAGTGTCTTGAGCAAGACCTAAAATGCTAACAACTCCCTCCAGGCAACTCTTATGTGCTGCTGAAAGAAAATTCCTTTCAGTTTTGCTGGGTATTCATTTGTTCCTATTTCCTCTAAGGTAGTCATAACATGCATTTCTTAAAGCATGATCTGAATCTAACATGCAAAAAAGCAGCTGTCAGTTGAACAACTATGTAACTCACCTAGAATCATAGATCAGCTTGCATAAAAATACTCTATAGTTTTCAATACAGCTAAACTGTAGAGTTAATATGTTTTATCCAGCTATATATTTATGTGATATTTATACAGTTACTGAAATTTAGTTTGTCAGAAGTAAGTTACACAATTTCTACAATGTGTGCCATTTTACAAGGCAATGAACCACCTACGGGGAAAGCACACAGCTAAATAAAGCTGTCTCAAATGAATAATTCAGCAATGACAATATAAAGATACACCCTGAAACAGTTAAGAATTAGAATGAGGGGAAAAAAAATTACTAAATATTATGGCCATGGATACTATTACATTTAATTGTTTCACTGTTGGCTAAAGCACATAAAGTAAAATGAAGACTGCATTATGGTAACACTGTAAGAAATAGGATGGATATTTCATTTTTCATCACAAGATGACGGTATTTTTATTACTTTCCCTTCTACAATATTTAAGAGGTCTGGTATAATCCACTGGGATATGCAGATCAAACTCAAGTTTTTCTTGATGTACCAACTGACATAATAAAATCCTGCAAGACAGAAACAGTCAGAACAAAGAGAATGATAACTTTGAACACTTGCATGCCTGAATATCACTGTCAAGTTGAAAAAGACTGAAATACCAATACCTGTGTTCCTCTCCCATGGTTCTATTTGGGTCCAGATGGAAGACAGACAGGTAGAAATGAAATCTAGCCTTTGTCTACAATCAAGATCTCTGTTTAAGATTTACCTCTTTTTTTCTAGCACGCTCAGCCTTTATTTTCTCATACTCTTCTTTTGCCTTCTGATTGGACGTTTTTTTCTTAAACTTCCCTTCAGGTGTAACAGACCTGTAAGAAAAAGTACATGTACTTCAGATACAGATGATCACCAAGCAGACATAACCATATATCCCATAGCCACTGCAGAACCAGTCTCTTCCACTCTTTTCTGCATATTTAGGGAAGTATATTAGAAACACATATTTCAGAAGGCTCATTCTTGTACACTGAATGGATACCTATTTACACCACTCTTCCATGATACACCATACCATTACATGTAACGTCATGAGCAGCTAGCGTGAAAACAGAACAAACTAAACTCCTCCAGTGCCAAGTGTACCGAAGGCTGGACTGCACACAACTTCTAGTAACACGTATACCTTATCTACTGAATCTTCACATGGATGATGTTTCATGAAGTTTAAAGAGTGCCTAAAAGAGGGATTTTTTTACCCCCATCATACGAGCTCTTCAGAGATAGAAAAACTGAACACACTAGCTTAGAGCTGTATTATCTCTTTCTAGTTCTGACATATGGATGCAACTGCAGAGCTTTGAGGACAGATAGCCATTAGCAGACTGCCTGCCAGAGAAGTCATGCTGACATGGCAAGATGAAAAAGGACAGTGGTAACGGTGCCTTTCTAAAAGTTTCTTCCTGAAGGAGATGGCATATTATTGTCCTTAATGTTCTGAAATTAGGAACTGAAATTACGTTCCTTCCAAATTTCAGTATCAAAAACTGCCCAGGTATCTTTCACTAAAGAAAACAGTAAAAGAAACCAGTGCCATTTGTCTGGCATTTTCTGTCACACTACTCTGAGTGGATTTTTCTGATTATTTACTTTTAAATTTTTTTTTTTCTGATTCACAGTAACGCCATTACATAAGCAGTGTGGTAGCACTGTGGCAGCAAAGATATCTCACACTTGAAAAACCAAAGACTGGCTAGATGTTTAAGTTAAAAACTAGCCACCATCATCTAGGAGACTTCAGGGAGACAATCAAAAAGGAATGAGAAGGTATTTGCTTACACTTTAATTTAAAAATACCACTCTTCTGGAGGGAAAAAAACCAAAAATCTTTGCTTTATTCTCATCTCCATCTTGTGGCAATACTGCATAATGACACCTCACCATCTCGAGTACAAAACTACTTAAACTGCAATATATGCTAAAAATAGATTTACCTAATCAAAGTCTTATTTAACATTCCCATGAGCACTGAAGTTCTACCTAACTGACCCTACACAGCACACCACCTCACAGATTAGCAGTCACATTTTTTCAGAATTATTAATTCTGATTTACATACACAATGACCATAGTTTAAGCAAAATTAAAACCTCTTGGTTTAAAGAAAACATCTGTCCTATTTCAGACATCCCCACGAATTAACTGACTATTCCAGACAAAAATCTACCTTTCTCGTACTGCTGGGCTTCAACCTGACTGCATTTCCCTCGCCGCCTCCCCAGCATTTTTCCCAGGAAAATGTAAATTTTGATACACTTTAGAATTCAAAGACTTATGACACTCCTTGTACTGAAGACAAAAGGGCATTATCTCAACCACCATACTGTTTAAAAACACTGCAATGACAATGTTAGACCTGAGTGACTATGTTTTTTGTTTTACTGCCATACCTCACCAAGATTTCATGGGGAATTGCTACCACACAGGGGGAAAAAAAAAAAAATGGTTTAAGTTGTCTGACATTTATTAGACTGCAAGTGAGAAACTCCATTTGACTTCTCCCAATTATAACTAAGTTTAAAACAAAAAAAAGCCAAAAACCCCAAACACCACTGGCAAACTACTATGACATCTTTCTTATTTAAAATTATTACTTTGATCAAGAACACTTTATCGCCTTAGGGTTTTATTAATTTTTTTTTTTCTCTAAAGTTCACAGTTAAAATCTCCCCCAAAAATAGCCATACCACAAAAAGGTAACTGCATACAATACCCTTTTAGTGGAAAAACGGTGAAATATGAAAATGACAATTTATCTAATTTGGGAACAGAAACATAATGCAAAAAATGTTTCTAAAAAGTTACACTAATTTAAAAATACTGAGAATCAATTGAAAGGAAAATTGCAGACTCAAAAGCACACAACCTGAAAAGCAGGCTTTTATCTTTATAAATATGGTAAGAAATCGGCCACACACTTAGTGCTCTTGGGCTGAACCTTATCCTTAAAGTACAGTGGTAACTGTCAGATTATTTCTGTGGAATCAAGCCCTAAACATCATCGATTTTGCTTTCTAATTAGATGCAAACACAACAAAACTCTATGTTTAAATTTTCTAACAATTAGGAAAAATTTTAAGACCTAATGGCTTTTTTTTTTTTAGTAAAGCAAATCAAGGTACTTAAGTCCACATAAAGTGTGAGATCTAAAATATTTCTTTAATGATGGAAATAATTACTTGTTTTTAGAGACATATTTTTAAAAACTTACTCTACTGCTTTGTTAAGTTTTTCTTCTGATAAAACAGAAACATCTGGAGCCCTGCGCCGTTTCTTAAGCATTTCTTCTTCAGCTAGATAAAGATGTTTCAAGTGCTCTGGATAAGTATCAGTAAATTGATTATCGTTTTGTGAATGGACCTTTCTTCCCTTTTTCAATAATCTCCTGTATTGTCTTTCAATCTTTTGTTTTCTCCGAAATGCAAATCCTCGTCCTGAAAACATAAGAAAAATGGAGTTAAATACAGCTGCACTGAAGTAATATCAAACCATCCAATTGCTGCCAGGACCATTTCAACCCATTTTCTTTCCAAAACAGAAAAAGCAACTATTTGTGCTAATTTTAATAAAGACCAATCAAAAATTCAAGGAAAAAACACTGTTAGAAAACTGTTCCCTACTGTAGCATTGCAGCTTGTACAGATTTACTGAAAATTATTGCCTAAACCCTTTAGATGCCATTGCAAACATACTACTTAATGCACACTCAAACATATTACACCTTTGCCAATATTTTTCAAATCCAGTGAAAAGATATACCAACATTTCACTTCTCTCCTACTTTTAACAGCTTCATAAGCAACATCAAAATAGATTCCTAAAGACAGTCTCAAGACACTAATAATAGCAATACTAGCTGCTTAAGTAGTCTGCAGCTGCAGGACCACAGGGAAAAAAGTCACCAAATCACTGTATTAAACTGTATTTATAGCTTGTCACACAGAGAAAATTTATCACTACTACTTTGTTTCTACATCTTCCAGGAAGAGCTTTTCTACAACTTCAAAATTAGGCTGTGTCATAGAGTGATTTAGCCTTAAAGGAAACATCAGGTAATGTTTTTTTCATTCTCAATCATTATATAACCACTTAAGTTAAACATGATTTTTCCTTAAGATGTCAATTTTTATTGCATTAGTCTTAAAAGATACTGACTTTATAATGTTCATTAACAAAATACTTTCTAAGGGCAGAAAGTCCAAGTTAGTCTCAACTTTTCCTCTGATTTTTTCTCCAAAGTTGAAATTTCAGAAAAGCGATGCAAAAGCCAATTCTCATTTCCCTATCAGTTCACTTTTACATTTACACAACTACCTGTCAATGGTCTGAACCTGCTTTTAAATATGCTTCTATTTTAAATATGCAGCTTCACAGAAAACTAAAAGCGAGTCCTAAAACCGAGAATTATCAGTACGCGGTCTGAGCGCGCCACTGAAGAAGAGCAGGCTGGGCAAACCGGGCTCCGGGAGCTCCAGCTCACACAGGCCGTCCCCCACCAGCCTAGAGTCACCGGCCCCGAGCCGCTGACCGGCCACTCCCGTACTCGGCGTTTAACCACCCCTCGGGCAGCGGACGAGGACGGGTCTCTGGGCTCCGCAACGCGAAGCCCTTCACTGAGGCAGACAGGCCTGGCCTCGCCGGGGCCCCAGGCCCAAGGCAGCTCGGCGGCACGGCCGGAAGCCAAGGGCCGCGACCAGCGGGGCCAGGCCGGGCAGAGCCTCCCTCAGCACCGTCTCTCCCACCACGAAACGACCTCGAGCCCTCCGTGGCTGCCCCACCGCCCGACTCACCCTCCTGGACGCTGCCCAAGACGCCGCGCAGCAAGACGGGCCTCCACGGCCGCTTTCGGCGGGGACCGCGGCCCGCGGCGCCCGCATTTT